CTTTCAAAAGCTGGAGTCTGCTCAAACCATAATGCATACAAAGTTTCACTTTTGAGTGGGCCTGATTTTTTTCTGTCATTTGTTTTCACTTTTATTTCTCTGCAGAACATAAAAAGATTTTATTTCCCCCTACATACCATATAATTTACATCAATCATCCCAGAAGGTCAGTACTGCTGGGGTGTCATTTAAATACAATGAATATAAAGTAATAAAGCTCTTGCCGAAGTGGATGGCCACAGCTTCTCAGTGAAAGAGAGAGAGTTTCCAAAGCATGTGGGGAAAACACAACGGGAGACCGAGTGAATTCATCACACCACAAAAATGTCTCCATCCTTTCGACAAAGTCATTAAAAGAAAATGAACCATTGTTACTCTAGACGTTTGCATGCCTTTGGCACAATAACTTCAGGAGAGATGTACTAGCGCAAAGAGAATTTGTACGTTATAAGGGAAAATCTTTTTTAACAAATTATTTTAGAAAAGAAAGTGTCTGGATCATGTAATTAAAAAAAAAAATCCTCCAGGATCTGAAGAAGAGCTGGAGCCCCTGCAGAAGCCACAAGTAATAAGGAACCAACTGCAGTGGGACAGAGCAGATGCTTTTCCTCCAGGCAACAAGTCAGAACAAATGCCAACAAAGACGATTCGTTTCAGATGACCCACCAATGATGCCCTCCTTTAATTACATAAATGTTTCTACCCTTTGCTGATCCATGACAATCCTCATTTTTAAAACGCCGCGTCAAGGTTCCCCTCTTCTACCACCACCTCCTTTTTTGTAACTTACTTTGTTTGCTTTCACTAATGCTTTGCAGTCTCCATAGAAACTATCTGGGAGGAATGTGGGGATTAGAGAGGTTTTCTGTATTCAATTTTATTTCATTTTCTGGCAAAGGGTGTCCAAATTATAGAAAAATCTCACTGGCATACCCAGTAAATGGTAGCAGATATCAGTTTCAGGTGCTAGGTTATTCTTTTAGATACCGATTTCTCTTATCACAGAAACACTACTTTTAAATTGAGAGGGACCACAATGCAGCCTGCAGTACTAAAGGTAGCTCTAGCAGGCTGCAGCAGCAATGTTCACATATGTGTCTTTATATAAAATCATGCATTCCAAAATAAAGTCAAGTCCTCTTCACTAATAGCCTAACTTAAAAAAACAAAACATGTTCATTAAGTAATCACCTTGACTATCACAGCCTCCTACAGTTAAAGCCACTCCTGTTCCATTAATTTATTTGAAAAATAACAGACAAAATGTTAAACCATTTTGAACAACTACAGTAAGAGATATTTTTATTATTGTGGCAGTTCAAAAGAACAGAAAACCTGCCTAAAGGAAAAAGAGCTGCACAGGAAGAGACACATACCAACAAACACCAGATCACACCTGTTAACTACTACAACTGAGCTTGCAGAAAATTGTAAGCATGCTTTTTATCCTTACAGCCGGTGAAGTGCACTGAACTAAACTTTTTCCTTGGCAATTGTCCCAATTAATTGGGTGTGCTGTTTATTAGGGTGCTGATTAAAGAGTACTCTACAATAGAATAGTTAAGTATGCAGTTGCCAACTCTCATTCCCTCCCTGTGCATATGGATAAAAGCAGGAGAGTAGACAAACACATTGTGAAAATAATGATGTATTTTGTGCCAGAAAGGAATAAAGGATATGAACTACCACTGGCTGAAGTCTAAGGATTTGGAGACCCAGCACTAGGTAGCATAACATATTATTAAGATAGAACATGTTGTGTTATATAAGCCAGTTATGGTCTAGAGACACAATTTGTAATAATCATGTTACATGCAGCCTAACACCCTCTCTTTACTAGGCCCACAGGCCATACATACAGACTTAAACAAGGAATATACTTACTGCAAGTTGCAGTGGTATTTCCAAATGGTTACACAGATCTCAAGGAATCCACTGCAGCTGGAAGCAAAAGCGACTTGCAGAGAGAGCCATTGTCTGTGCACTACCTCCTGCTGTTTTCCCCCACCCAGCTGCCTGTGCCCTTTTCGTTGAGACCAGTTCAGTGCCCTGGATATACAACCATTGTTTCTGTTTAGTTCAAGCTTTACACATCAGTGAGGAAAAGGCATATACCTTTAATCTGAAGTAAGTCCTTGGAGTCAGCGCTAATTCAGCTAACAGTGTCTGACAACCAAAGTAACAGCACCAGGGCAAAATCGTGTTTTGCACCAACTAAACATCCTCTGTACATTGTATCGTTTTTTGTTTATATCCGTACACCTATACTAATGGAGGAATACCAAGTACAAATCTGATTTGCCCCACATTATACCTGTGGCAGCTTTTATTTCCATCTCTTATTTCCTGTTCCCTGAATTACTAGTAGTCCCAGCCAATACCAAAAAGATCCTGATTTGGGAAGCAGTGTAACATGCTTAGGCTTGGACCTCTATGACTGGGACTTGATAGGACGGGGTTGACAAACTAGGGCCCAGACGGGGTTGACAAACTAGGGCCCATGGCCAGATCTAGCCCATGGATATGGGGCTTCAGCTGCATTTGGTGATGAGGGGCTTTGGCTGCGGTTGCTCTCCGCATGCCACTATGGGGACAAGCACCAGCTGCAGATATTTCCCCTTGATCCTAGAAAGAAGCAGCAGCAGCAGGGACTAGCGCCCACACACCTCTGGCATAGAATGAGTTATTCCAGCCCATGGCCAGAAAAGTTTGCCTATCCCTACTCTAGGCTGATCTCTGTGGTTAGCAAGAGGGCCCCTATTGGGATATCTCAAACACTAGAAACTAAAACCAGTTATACAATCACCGCAAATGCTCATGGATGTTGATTTGGAGCTGGAACTAGAGAAACACTGAAGTACTCTAGTCATCTATTTCTGGCCACTGAAAGCAGACTTAGGCAACAACAGACCCCTTCAACTAGGGATCAAGGAACACCCTGGAATAGGCACTTAAGCAGGAGAAGCAAGAACCGGCCAAAAGCAGAGCTATTCCTTTATTAACAGGCTACATTCAGGTGATTGGGTAATTAGCTATTATTTTTCCAAGTAACATAGATACATCTGATCCAAACATTAAAATATTGTGTAATTTAATAAAATCTACACACTTCTGAACCAGCAGCCTTAACCAGGTATGTGTTTGGGAATAGGGTTTGGCATAGAGAACCCTTAGTCCTACACATTCCCAAATCACACATCTAGATTGATGTGAACTCTTGACAGGGGCCTTTGACAAGTAAGGAAGAGTAAATCACAGGACTCAGATCTTGCCCCTCACATCCCTAGTCAGAAGCAGAGAGGCATATGAAGTCTTGTGACTTCCTTCTGGCCTGCATATTAATATCATGAAAGCTGCTAGAATTAGGCACATTCAAAACAGTAAATTTTTAGAAGTACAGGATGAGTGCTAAGGAGTTGCATCAAATTACTCCTAGACTGCAGAGTAAATAACATCAACCACAGGTTGTGAAGGATTTAATTTCCTCAATGTCCTGAAACAAATTAATACTACTTCACCACCCAGAGCAGGCAGAATCCTGCATTTATGGTTTCAACTGCCAGATATTTCATTCTCTAGTTTTGGTGTCCAGTAGTGTTCTGCATGCATTAGATATTAATTATGAACACAATTATATTTAGTCCTGAGATGCAATTTTCTCAAGTTCAATGTTTAGGTATGTAGGGCCAAATTCCACCACTATATGTACGAACACAGCACTCTTTGACTTCATTGGGAGTTGCGCATGTGTAGCTAAGAAAAGAGCTTGTCCCTTATATTCAGATTTTTGCACTAAGCTACCAGTGGAAAGAAATCTATAATCTGTAATACACAGGAAAGCGGTATGACCTACTTTAAATGTGAGGGTAAAATTGTACGTTTCTGTCTTTCTTTTGGATATAAAACACTACCTGTAGCAAAGCTCCTAGGAATGTTCTTCCATCCTTTCTAAACAGTCTTCCTGTTGTTTACAAGGCATTCCTCATATGTGGAACTTTGATCCTTTATGTGACAAGCAAACCAAGCGGGATGCATTTTGTTTCTCTCCTTCTCCCCCTCCTCCCTAATTTCCATCCTGCCAGTTTCAATTCAGCATCTTGATGGAATGGAAATAGACATTTAAAAATATTCTTATACAAATTATATTACATCAAATATTACTTTACAATTATGAAAAGATGATGGTGATTTTAAACTATCAAATCCTATCTTTGAGATCTGTGACATGAAGTATCTTCCTTTCTCATGAATCAATGTAGCAGGTAAAACCAGTTGAGGAACTTCTGCTGCCCCTGTCTATGTTTAAATATATAGGACTATTACTATGGCATTTCAAATGGAGAATTCTTTATCCTAGAAAATGTCCTTACCTGTTTCTCTCTCCTTTCTAAATAATTTAGACATTTATTCCATGCTTATCACAGAGCATCTCAGTGCCTATGATGCCTCAGAGCCTTTTGATTTTGATGCCTCAGAGCAGTTCTTTATCAGTTTTTAAAAAGTTGCCTTACAATTTCACTGAATATCTCCTTCATCTTATGCTTGTCTAGTTTTTCCACAACTTCCACAATAAATACAAGAAGGGGGAAAAACACCTCTCATGATCATTTTTCCCCCATGATACTTGCAAGAAATCAACCAACTACTAATGGATGAGATGAGGGGTCCAGGTTTCTAGCTGAAATGTATTTATTTCATAAATAAAACCAAACTTCATTGTACATACAAAAATACATTTGACACAAAAATTGTACACAGTGAGATTGTATCCCATACACACCCTTTGTATGTTGCCTATCTTAAATTATATTTTTTGTGGCAGGGACTATGTATGTGCATGCGTGTGCGTGTATGTATGCACATGCTCACAGTGCCTAGTACATTGTGGCCACAAACAATAAATAGGACAGAAAAAACAATGAGTGCAGGGAAGGGAGGGGAAGAAAAGAAGATAGAAAGAGAAGGAGACAGAAGTGGAAAGAAAAAGAAGAGAGACGAGCATGAAGGTGAGGAACAAATCTGATGGGTGCAGGAACAGTGGACAGAGCACTATACTAGACATAAACATGGTCACTTAGGTCCAGATCAACAAAGGGATATAGGCATACAAAATAGGACATAGGTAGAATATAGCCCCTTAAATCCTGGAGGAAGATCCTCAAAAACCCTGTCCAGCCCTTTTAGTGCATCCATAGCATCCAGCATCAACCATTCATAGGTGCCTATGTTTTTGCCAATAAGCACCTATAGCACTACTACTGCACATATCCAGATATGCAGTTATTCTGGTAAAGCAGAGCAGCTCAGTGTCCATCTCATTCCAAAAGTGGTTTGTATTCCTCCAGCTAGGTCTTCTCCACCTCAGTTGCCTGAGGAGCCTGATCCGATAAGTCATTCACTGAACATATCGAACCACATGCTGACATAGAGGAGGTCTCCACGAAACACAGCAACCCTGGCCACTTTCATCCAAAACACAGCTGGCAGAAGTGGTGGTGCTTCACCCCCTACCCGCATTACACAATAATTCAGTGGTCAGAATACTTGTCCTAAGAAACAGAAGACCCAGGTTCTAACTATTTTTAGTCTGAAGGGGTTCAAACACACACATATCTTACCTGCTAGGCGTGTGCCCTAAAGCCAAACTATGAGCTGTTTGGGAAGAGGGGGTCATTCTCTAACCTTCCTCTTGAAGATATATCATTTGTTAAAAACAATTCAAAACTCTTGGGGCAAGAAAGAGAAAAAGAGCAAGTAGCAGCATGGCTCTGTAGCTCTGATTCTTGGGCTATAATGTAGGCAGCTCCCCACTCAACACAGTGTTTCCCTTGAATCTAGTGCTAAAAGACCTTAGCCTCCTCATGCATTGTATAGGGAACTCAGACACTAACTGAGGGCTATAGACTCTCTTCTGGGAGCCAGGTGCCTAAATGTTAGGCACTGTGAAACTGAGCATCACTCAGCACCACTTAAGCCCTGTTGTGAGGCTACCTATGATGGTCTATGGATTGCTGAAAAGATAAATACATCAGCGGAAGAGCAGTGGTCCAATACGGTGTGGCAAATCATCTGCTTCTTCAGCCTTTTCTCAGTAAGACCTCCTAGATAGATACATTGACAGGCTGCAGGATTACACCATATAAATTACAATAATCATCATCATATGCTAACTAGTAAATTAAATTGGTGATCATCTCATCTCTAATCTCCAATATAACGGAGGCTATAGATTTTCAGTAATTCCTGCATTAATAACTTTTGATTGAATACTTAGAAAAACATTGCAGAGCTTGCTGCTTGGCTTGCTTCCTTGCATACAATAGTTATGTGGATACTAGATCATAATGTAATTAAAAACCCTAACAATTGTTAATCACTTGACATACTGTAAGTATATTAAGGCATGGAAATTTATAGTTGAAGCTGATGTTGCAGACTTAACACTGTTCCAAGTTCAAAAAGTTGTGCCTTTAATATTACTGATATTTCAGAATAGCAAAATATTTCAGAAATATGCCAAAAAAATTAGCTGTTTTTGACAACTCATGTTGAAACACCTGCCCTCCTTCCATGCAGGTTCAAATGGTGTTAAAAACAGTTGCCCCACTAGTGTGGACAAGGTCAGTTGAGTTCAACACCCATTGTAACAAATAGTTTTATACACCCTGAGCCAAATCTTGCTCACTTCAGCTATGCAAGTGGTCCCATGTGCCCTAGTCAAGCATGATTTGCTACAGTAAGCAGTGAACTTGGTTGACCTTATCCACACTGGCCAGGCAATCATTTTCAACACTGCTTCAGGTGGGTTTGGGGGCAGGAAACTGTTTTAGAAACCCCTTGTCAGAACAGCTAATTTTTCTAGAGTAGACAAAGCCCCAGTGTCATTACATAGCATATGTGCGGAAATACAATGGGGTGAGCTGAGGACAAGAGGTAGTCACCCCAAAGTCTGCATTTCCTTGTTTTACATTCAAAACCCCCCCACTTCAACATAGTGAACTGCACTGGGAATTCCACACCTTCTGTTGAAGAACATGAATTAATCTACTATCTACTGGTAGTATGTGAGAAAGATTTAATAGATAAGGGCCTGAGTCTTTTCTTACATCAATGTAAACCAAAAGTGACTTCACTGAAGTTGGTAGGGTTACTCTAGTATAAAATGGATGGGAATGGGTGCATCTACATGAGAGACTACTGTGCAGTGGTTATTGTACATTTATGTAGTACTTGTATAAGTACTAAATAAATGCACAGTAACCAGAGTTACTGCACAGTAGCGCCAGCAAGTGCCTTTACAATGACACTACTGCGCAGTAGCATCTCGGCACAACTTTTTGCCCCACAACACTACTGTGCAGTCAGTGTCTCATGTAGATGCACCCAATAAGAAGAGCGATGGTCCTTAAGAGCTGTGAACAGCCTATCATTCACATACCTATCACCAGATTTTAATCACTCTTGAGCAATTACATTTGATCGCATTGCCCACAAAATAAAATACAGGGTGTAAGTTATTTTGTGACTTTGAGCAAGGGACTTAATCTTTTTGTCCCTCAGTTTCATCATGTATACCTAGCTGACAAGGGTGTTTGGAGGCTTGGTTACTATTTAGCAATGCACTTTAAGATCTACCTCTACCTGTTTCAGCTTTATGAAAAGCCCTGACTCACTATAGCCTGCAGGTGTGACTAGGCATGCAAGTCCTTGTGTAGAGCCCATATATTAATTAAAATAATTTGTATTACAATTATGGTCTAATTAGCTATAGGACATCTTTTCATCCTTTTCTGCATCATTAGGGATGTGTCATACTCCATCAGGAAGCCCATGATAAGTAAATGTTAAAAATGGCTTTAGTTTTTCTGATCTGACAGTTCCCTATCTATTTTAGGCATACTGCTATCCAGCACTGTGGTATCCAAGCACCTTCCACATAGAAAGCAATAGCAATCATGAGGTTTCTAATGGACTTCAGCTGGTGATCAAACAAGCATGACTGATACAGCATGCGGATTTCTTAACAGGAAGGGGATTTGTTTGCTTCCTTCAGATCACAAAGTTCTTCAGAAAAATCATAGGTGGCAGGACACACGTGATGTTTAGCAAGTAGAGTTTTGTATTAATCCCTTCATTCCTTTTCCCTAAACTGTCAAAAGCAGTCCAAGCTTAACTTTCTTGCAATTAAAAAGACCCAAGAACTAACGTGCTTTTAAATCAGACCACACAAACACTCTGCAACAACTAAGACACACAGAAGTGGAAATGATGAGAGGCTGCACAGTGTAACCACAAGGGGCAAATTCATAAAGGCTGGTCTCTGTCATTCATTCCCGTACTTATTCTGTGAAGACTCCCATTGAAATCAGTGGGACTACATACAGCCTGGGGTACTGCACAACCTGAAAAAGGTAAATCTACCTTTTATGTGACAGACCCTTAACTAGTCAGTATGTATTCAGGCATTTTTTTAAATATGAATAATTTATTCAGTGGATGATAATTCTTTGCTAAAGGATACCAGCGGCAGAAAGGGGCCTCCCTAATTGCCTCTGCAATTTCAGGAATGATTTTTACATTTTTTTTTACATTTGCAGAGTTCAGATTTGCATATGAAACTGAATTTGCAAAGCCAATGCTGTTTGTAGAGGAGGGAAACATGGATACAAAAAACTGTTCACAAACTTTGGGCTTTGAACAATTTGGACACAGATTTAGAGCACATTGAAACTGCTTTGAAATGTAGTGCTTCGGGCCCAGTTGTCCCACTCCCCTTGCTCACCTTGATGGGCACTTATTTACAGAAATAAATGGTCTCACTAAAATCAGCCAAGCTGCTCATATAAATAAGTGCTCGCTGATGTGGAGAGGTATTCTTAGTATTTTTAAGTGCAACCCGAAACTTTTATTCAATCAGAGCTCCTAGTGGGATTGGCTTGTGTTTTAAAATACATATTTTGATAATTTATTCAATTAATATTCATTAGGGGCTACTGACTGTTTATAGTCTTATTACTTCATGCACGCTCCCTGTATCATTAGCTAATATTATTTCATGTCAGTCCAACAGAGAGAGAATATGCTTTGCATCTGTATTGTAAGTGTTAACAAATTTAGGATTTAAAGTATTTTGGTTTCCTTAAATCGGCTGATTGACAGATGAGGCAGAGAGCTTGATCTGCATGTTAAGTGTTAACAAATTTAGGATTGTAATTATTTTGGTTTCCTTAAATAGGCTGATTAACATATGAGGCAGAGAGCTTGCAAACTATCCTTTTCACAAATCTATTTCTGAGTTATTAAAGTGCTATATAGAAATAGTGTCTAAACTAAATAAACTTCTATTTTCTCCAGTTCTACAACTTTAAAAAGAGCCCAATAAAAAACACACACACACACACACACACAAAACTTCATAACATTTGACTTCTGAACTGAGACATCATATGCCAGTTTTCAGCCTGAGAGGAATTTTTACGGTTGAGTTACAAACTTCTGAAAAGCGAAGTTGAAAACAGCACTGCTGACAGTCTTTCTGATCGTATTTTTTGAACTATTAGGGATTAAGATGAGACCTTAATGGGACAAAAGATCACATACCTATCTGCCAACTGTGGGGTTTCTTATACCTTCCTCCAAAGCATCTGATGCAGATCATGGTCAGAGACAGAAAGCTGGACTAAAATGACCATGGGTTGGATCTAGTCTAATAATTCCTACGTTCCTACAGACTCTTTGGAGAATTGAGCTGCCAGCCATTAAGTCTGCTAAGTAAAGATTTAAAAAATAACCCCAAAACTTACAATTCAGCGGAGTTTGGGTTGAATCTCATTGAGGGTATAGCTAAAATACTCCCTTATCCCAGGGTAATTCCTCCCCCAACAAAATGTCAATCCCTTCTTCAAAACATGCATCAGAACTGTAGTAAGAATGTTGTTAACATTTAAAAACCCATGTGTTTTTTCCTATCATCCTTCTTTGATGTGGCTGAACTCTTTTTACTAAAACTTGGGGGGAGGGGAGGAACAATGAGCTGTGACAGGCACCTACAATGGAAAATGTCATCCCAAACAATTAACATTTAGCAAAGATAGAAGCAACTGAAATCAGGTCTTATACCAAAAGCATCAGACAACCTTAACTGTAGATGCTTCTCTCAGCTTTACCACTCATTAACTAGGGGTACCAGTCTTTGCTGAGGTCAACGAACTGTGAAGATCCTACATCAGACTGTTTTTATATATGGTGAAGGGGAAAAAAAAGGCAGGGGGGAAATATGAACCCTATTTTTTTTAGGCCTCATAGCTCAAAAATAATTTGTCCACTTTTCCTGGAACTTTCCAGGAAAAAAAAAATCCATGTTGGCAATAAGATCATGCATTCATTTACAGTTAAACTGTGGGGAGGCTCAATGGAGAGGGGCCAAACTGTGTTTATTAGAGTCAGTTTTATCCTTAATAATGAAGAGCACAAGTCTCCATAATTAAATTTTTGATTTGCAGGGTCCAAAAAAAAAAAAAATATATATATATATGATTTTCTTGACAAAGACAGACCAAAATGAGAAATCCCTCTAATTAAAATGCATAGGTCAAACTTTGCTTTCCAATCAAAAGCACAGGGTAGATTTTCTCATTGATATATTATTATAATGCAATGGTTAGAATCACAATACTGCATCAGGACCCACAA